TGCCTATAGCATCTGAAATTGTTGTGACAGCTTGGTCTTTTCTCTTTAGGAACATAGACTTTAAATTTAAATGCATTTGAAAACTATAGTCAATAATGATGATATTTTAATATACTTCTTCAAATTTCTCAGAATGAAGATGATATACATACATATACATATATATATGTACGCATAGTATACATACATTGTGGTACTGTTCTGGAGTCTTTAATCACAAAATGGTATCATACTGTACAATATACTTTTTTCACTCAATATTATGTTTTCATGGGCCATCCATCTTTATTAAATATGTCAAGTTTTTATTTTAATAAAAATTGCTGTACAGTATTCCACATTATGAGTATACTACATTTTATTTATTGTTCCCCTACTGACCAGCATTTTTCAGAGTTCGACTACTAGAAATAATGCCACAATGAACCTTCCTGTAGATCTCTCTTTAGGCAAATGTTCAAGAGTCTTTTTGGAATAGACACCTGGAAATAGAATTGTTGAATCAATGTATTCATTTTTACATTAAGATTACAACCTATAAGTATATTCAGTATGTGGAGAAACAGGTATGTTCTCTTGCCTATGAAAGTTACTCAAGTAGCACATAACCTGTACTTTCTAGGAAATGCTAAGAAGGAACATAGCATCCAGATTTGGAAGTAGGAGAATATTCTGAAACTTTCAGCCAAGATTTGAACTTATTCTTTGATCTTCAGTGCATTTTCTATCCTTTCCTTTGGCTTTGTTATTTGGCTTTTGAAATATTTAAAATATGTGTGTCCCCCTTTAAATGGGAAACCAAAATAGAGAAATATGATTACACACCAATTTTATTCAAAGAGTTTACAGAAAATCCTGTACATAACTCAAGTGGCTAGAATGTAATAAAGAAGTTTAGAACAGAATTTGGAGTATGAAATGACCATAGAGACTTATCTAGTCCAGACTTCTTGATTAACAGACGTGACAAATCCAGGTGCAGAGAACTTCAGTGATTTACTTAGGTAAATCTAGATACTTACCGAATCTATTGAAACACACAGACTCACAGCCCCTTTAAGAGAACAGTTTTGTTTGCAAACCACTAGACTCTTTGCAACAGTCATTTAATACTGATCAACTGAAAGCTACACTACAGTGATTTGTTTGTTTAGCTTCTTGCTGTTTGACCACATTAACTCACAAAAGCACTGTGCCTCTTGTTCAAAGCAAGTGTGAAAACCCATCTTTTCTGAATTATGTACTTTTGTGAGAACTGTAGGAGCTCTCTTATCCAGTGTGATTGGGACTGGTAGTTAATTAAAAAGTTGGTTAAAAGCCTTTTCTTGGATTTTTTT